CCTACCCCAAAGAGTGAAATTTGCCATAGGAATATCAAAATTAAGATGGGGCTGAAGCTTTTTAGACAATTTTCAAGTGCAGGAAATCCAGTCCTTGGGATGGTTTTAAATTGGGTGTGCATCTACAGGTTTTAGTATTGTTTTGTAGCCAGTATAATATCCCTGCCAGTCCTGACTTAATACGACTGCTAATGAAAAATATATTCTCACTGAGGTAGAAGAGTAAGGATATATTTTTTTATAAGGACCTATTTTTGACGTTCATTTTTCTGAAGAAGTATAGAGGTTGCGGCTTTGGTGTTGAAATAGTAAGGCAATTCTACACGCTTTATTTCCCAGGTATGAATAAGCATTTAACAGACTTTACTGAAAAAACAAGGGTAATCAACCTGAAGCGATTGCTGCAGAGGAGTGTTTTGGAACCTGTAGTGATTTGCTGAATAGTAGTGTTGCTACACAAGGACAGTGCAAACCTTGTAAGGGTTTAAATTGTGGCTACCGTAACCATAAGGTTTTAAACCCAGAGCCTAGATTCACTGAAGGACTTGACTGTTGTGGCACCTAAATTTAGGTTCTTTGTCCCCAAAGTGGAATGCAGTATCCCCCCAAATCCTCAGTTTACTGTACAGTGTGTTAGATGAATCTATCTCGGTGGATGGTCCAGGAAGAAATTACACTAAACGGTGATCTATCTAGTGAGAGCCACTAGGTGATAGTGTACACTGAGATATATTTGAAATGCTGCTGCTTATTCAGAGCTGCTCGGAGGCACCTGGGTATACACGGGCCCTAATGTCATGAGGCGTCTTCTCAAGAACTAAGCACTGCGGCCCTAAAAGGGGAGCATAGCAGTAGGTGGCAATGGCACCCCTCTTCTGTGATTACTTATTAGAGTGTTCAACTGGGAAACAGGAGATGTAGATTTTATTCCCTCCTCAGAGGGTAAGGTGTTGAATTCAACATTTGACGCTTACCCAAGAGGGTGTCTTTAACTGTAAATTTCTAGACTGCACGTGTTCCTTTCTCTTGAAGTTGTGCCACTGTGGAGAAGCATGAATCTGTAGCTGGTTGGTTTAGGTGCTTGTCCTAGACTCATATTCCTGAGTGTAGAAGAAATGTTCTAAGTAAATTATAAAGTGGTAGAAATGGCCTTTTTACCCTTCAGGTTTCAGACAAGCTCTTAAATTTTCAGGATTAGTGCTCAGTTAGGCCATGATATAAAAGCTGTGCAGCACTTAACTGTTGTGACAGTATCTGTTTCTTCAGGTGTTCTCACTAAGTTATTTTTTAAGAAGACCAAAACTATTGATTTATGAAGAGTGGTAAGATTGACGCTCAGATAATGTATGCTGCAGCTTCACTTAACGCTTGTGATTCCTGTAGGCTTTGAGTACAAGGATCTCAATTCTGAGTATGTATGGAGGGGAAACAAAAACCCTACAGGGACACTTGAGGATCTTGCAGATCAACAAGGAGGTGCCTGATAAGGTTAGATAGATGCAAAGGTTTTTGTTTGGTTGGTGGATTTTTGTTGGTATTGCAATCTGGACATGAAATCTTTGAATCTGACCCAAATATCTTACAGTGCTGCTCTTGATTTTCCTTTAACTTCTGTGGTTTCCTTTAAGCAATACCTAGGTTGAGGTCTGCTGATTCTAACTCCTTGTTAAGGCAGAGCCTGTCTAGAGCTTTAGAGTGTGGACTTCTCCTACAGTAAAGCTAATAGCTCTTGTCCCATCAGCTTGCTGCCCAGGAGAAGTTTAAAAAACAAACAAACAAACAAAAAAACCCCGAACTTTCTAAAAG